TTGTTAGCCCCACATATCGCTGTTTGGATGCATGTTCCACTAGGGCTGTCGTTCTAATTGATTTAATTATAGCGCATGCTTAAGACCTCAAGCTCCAGCTTGGATAAAAAAATGATATCACTGAAAATATTTAGACACAGACGGTGTACACTTTGTACGTGTGGTTTTCTGTCTTAGAAAATGGATGAAGTGGACAGGTCAATGTGTCCAGGAGTGTTAGAGATTGTAACTGACTGGTCAAAGATGTGTATATACCTACTGGCCATATATATATGTCCAGTTATAGATGTCGTGGTCAGCAGTTGTGACAGGAGACGGTCAGTTGACGGGTCAGGCATAATATGTGCCAAGCTACAGTAAGTGTGTCCAGCTGTGATAAGGTCAAATATTGTATAAACTTATCTTTATTCTATATAGCTACCACTTATATACAGTATGGGCTGATGATCATTATAATCTAAAATCATTGGGTTTACCCTTTCTGGTTCTGATTATTAATAATAACAAATTCCCTGATCAATAGATTATGTTCATTACTGAACTCAGGTGTCCAATGTATACACTATGTACAATGTGAAGTTTGACAGTGTAAATGTGAAGTTCAACAGTGTAAATGTGAAGTTCGACAGTCTAAATGTGAAGTTTGACAGACTAAATGTGAAGTGTGACAGTCTAAATGTGAAGTTCGACAGTGTAAATGTGAAGTTCGACAGTCTAAATGTGAAGTTTGACAGACTAAATGTGAAGTTTGACAGTCTAAATGTGAAGTTTGACAGTCTAAATGTGAAGTTCGACAGTGTAAATGTGAAGTTCGACAGTGTAAATGTGAAGTTCAACAGTGTAAATGTGAAGTTTGACAGTCTAAATGTGAAGTTCGACAGTGTAAATGTGAAGTTTGATAGTGTAAATGTGAAGTTTGACAGTCTAAATGCGAAGTTCGACAGTGTAAATGTGAAGTTTGACAGTCTAAATGGGAAGTCTGACAGTCTAAATGTGAAGTTTGACAGTCTAAATGTGAAGTTCGACAGTCTAAATGGGAGGTTTGACAGTTTTAAATGGGAAGTTTGACAGTCTAAATGGGAAGTTTGACAGTCTAATGGGAAGTTTGACAGTCTAAATGGGAAGTTTGACAGTCTAAATGGGAAGTTCGACAGTGTAAATGGGCATTCGACAGTGTAAATGTGAAGTTTGACAGTCTAAATGGGAAGTTTGACAGTCTAAATGTGAAGTTTGACAGTCTAAATGTGAAGTTCGACAGTCTAAATGTAAAGCATGCATTGAAGTCATTTACTTTTATGATTTTTGTTTCGCCTGCGAAAAGCTGGTGACACATAGATATTGCTTTGTCGGTGTTGGCGGCGTCAGCGTCCGAACAGATGTTTTCATGTAATAACTTGAGTTTCCTTGGGCCGATCAAACTCAAACTTCATGCAGTGCTTCCTTACCAAAAGTGCTTGCTTGGGATTGCTTTTCAGGTCCAAAGGTCAAAGGTCAAGGTCACTGTTACTATAAATAGAAACTTCACTAAAACTGTATACTGGACGGCTTCGATCTGCCACTTGACCCACCGTGTATACCTCTGAAATGCCTTACTCCAAATGTTATTGACAACACTAGCTGTTTATTTATTTATGGAAAACCATTCGACAAATCATACAAATTAAACTTGGAATTGAGACAATGAGTATCCATAGCAAGTTCCTTAAAACTCAGAGNATAATCTATGATTATTGCTTACTTTTAACATTATTTCTTGAAATGAAAAGTGTATCTATTTCTTTGTAATCTCCCAGCTTCCTGCGCAGGTGACACATCCACTTCCGTGGAACTCTTGTTATTCATATTATTGATGTTAATGTTAAACAAAATCGAAATTTGTGTAAAAGGAAATACCTCTAATCCATTCATTGAAGAGGAATGAAACCTAAAATAGTTAATAACTTGCCTGCTGATATAAAAATGGTGTTGTGATTTTATTCGGGGATTCAGTCCCCCAAATCTTATAAACTGATTACTATATATACACCATGAAATTTTCAATCCTGATTAATTTTTCGCCTTTTTCACCCTCCTTATGAGAGTGAATTTATCGTTACAGGTAGATAAATTGATATACATAGTAATTAAATGTGTAGGGCAAAATTGATACTGGACTTTTCACTAATGTGTATTTATAATTAACCAGCAAAGGGCAAACATTTCCTGGTAATACTTGACTATTCACTAATGTGTATTTATAATTAACCAGCAAAGGGTGAACATTTCATGGTAATACTGGACTATTCATTAATATGTATTTATAATTATCCAACAAAGTACGAACATTTCCTGGTAATACCGGACTTTTCACTAATGTGTATTTATAATTACCCAGCAAAGGGCAAACATTTCCTGGTATTACTGGACTTTTCACTAATGTGTATTTATAATTGACCAGCAAAGGGCGAACATTTCCTGGAAATACTGGACTATTCACTAATGTGTATTTATAATTGACCAGCAAAGGGCAAACATTTCCTGGTAATCCTGGACTATTCACTAATATGGATTTATAATTAACCAGCAAAGCGCAAACATTTCCTGGTAATCCTGGACTATTCACTAATGTGTATTTATAATTGACCAGCAAAGGGCAAACATTTCCTGGTAATACTGGACTATTCACTAATATGTATTTATAATTAACCAGCAAAGGGCAAACATTTCCTGGTGTTCAGATAGAATTGGTCATGAATCGGTGTAGTCTACCTCTGATTACAAACTGATTATCGATCAAGATTTCAGACTGATTGTCAATCACTTCTGAATAACAATTTTGGTTTTCTTTGTAATTTCAAGGGATACAATGGTACTAGAGGTTAGCTATAGAAAACCCTTAATGTGTCCATCCCGTTCAAAAGATAAATTTGGGACTACATATATTCTCAGGATAATTTAGTTTGTATGCTTGTGTCCCGTCTGTACTGTACCTCTCTCTGATCAAAAGTGGGGTCAAAGTTCAAAAATTATTAGCTGGACAGCAACTCCTGAATAGCTGAACTTCTTTCTTTACAAAAATACATAGTGAAATTGAAACCTCAAGGAAATGTGCACGTGTTGTTTTTTCCATAATACCAACTTGGTAATACCGATTGAAATTATTTATTACAGATTTTTTTATTTTTTTTAAACAATTTTTTGAATACTTTGCAATTGTTGCTTTTTCATATTAATCTGTATGTAGTATATTTTTGAATTAATTGCTTTGAATACAAGGAAAAGGTCTTGTTTGGAGACATGTACATGTAAAACACAATGTTTTTTTGTTTGGCCTCACAGAAATCTGAACTGAAGACTTTTTTCTAAAATTTCACCAATCTAGAATCCACCCTTCTAGCTTTTATTAGGCATAAAATTCTTCAATTAATAGAAAATGAAATAAAACAAATTAATGAGAAAACACTATTACGGTTTCAAGTATTGCTGTGAAAAATTTCCAGTTTTTAGCTTACCTGCCCAAAGGGCAAGTGAGCTTATGCCATGGCGCAGCGTCTGTCATCCGTCAATTTTTCGTTTAAAATGCTACTAGTCCTGAATGGCTTCGTGGATTTTAACTAAATTTGGTCTAAAGCATCCTTGGGCCAAGGGAACTCAATTTTGTATAAACGGTGGGTTTGGACCCCTTGGGGGCAGAGGGATGGGGCCTTATAGGGGAAACAGTGGTAAACCTTTAAAATTCTTCTTCTACCATAGGGATTAAGGGATTTCATCCCAATTTTGTCTGGAGCATCCTTGGGCCAAGGTGACTCAATTTTGTATAAAGAGTGGGTTTGGACTCCATTTGGGCAGAGGGATGGGGCGCCCTATTAGGAGAAATAGAGGTAAAACCTTTAAAATTCTTCTTATACTGTAGGGATTAAGGGATTTTATCCTTAATTAGTCTGGAGCATCCTTGGGCGAAGGGGACTCAATTTTGTATAAACGGTGGGTATGACCCCCCTAGGGGCATAGAGTTGGGGCTCTATCTGAAGTTTGTTCTCGCTATATCTCCAGAAGTACTGGATGGTTCTTTCTGAAATTTCATATGTACTTACAGCACCTACCTTGGAGTGCTATATCTTTAGTTCATACCAATTATTTTAAACATATTCAGGTGAGCAATACGGGCCCTCTGGGCCTCTTGTTTTGCAGTGAACTTGGGGCTGTTATAAGGCCCCTTCCGCTGTATTTTCCAATATCATTGCGGAAATCACTTCATTTTGCTAAAATCATCCTTTTTTGTGAGTAAGGTTCCACACTTGCCAACCCACCCTTTTTAGTAGGGAGACTCCCAATTTTGGACCCTTAAATTGAGTGTTTATTGTATATGATATATATATATATATAGGTAGTTCTAAAGCTTCATGGTATCTGTTTTTATGTTTGGCCCTTACCGGGGATAACCCATCAAAGCCATAGGTCCAGACTTATTCTGATACGGCCCCCTGGTCGGGATCAGCAGTGCAAATGTAAGAGATTCTTAAGTACGCTACAATCTGTGCAGGTCACACACCGGGTACACACTATGTGTCGTTATGCAGGTTGATCTCTGCAATTGCAGGTGACTTAATTGACAGGTACGCACGAGTTAGCTCAGAACTCATAAACATTAGTGTTAGTTGTTGCTTTGACAACAACCAGAGTTAACAAGCTGTTTGTCAGCTACCAGATCACTTCATGTCTCATGTAGATAGACTACAGCCATATTAAACAAATCACATTATTTCCTCAGAAGATCATTATTGTTATAGGCACCCTGACTTTATGATTCCGCTCTGGTATGATGTTATGGCTGGGTGTGGATATCCTCTGACAAGACGACAATTGTCTTGAACTGGGTGATCACAAGAATTCCATCGGTCAGTCAGACGAAATGTCCGGCCGAATACCTACATTTACCTTTGAATCCCAGTTCAAACATATATTTAATCAATTGGATGGGTTTTTTTTCATATCAAATATGTTTTTTTTTATTATTGCAGGCAACTGAAGTCTCGGAGAAATCAAGTTCTGGCCTAGCTGTGATGTGGACGAAGCATATGGAAAATTAATAATCCGTTTGATTGGAGTACATCACACTTGCATCGTTGCCAGTGTGTTTCAAGTGACACAGTTCTATCTGACCTTTGTGTTCAGCCTTATGAAATCTTCAGGCAAAAGTTCATATCACTGTGTGTTGTGAAATACTTATACCAAAGAATTGACAAATTTATTGGAACTTGGTCATTCGCTACAAAAACCTTTTCATAAAAGTCAGTAGATTATGTTTTTCATAAATGATATATTGAAAAAGCAACTTGAAAAGTTGGTGCAATTTTCAACTGATGTACCGCTTTGGTTTCAAGACTGAAACTACGCATGAAAATGAGGCGTAAAACGCTATTTGGGGGCCTGCTATGCATGTGCTTCGTATTTTTCATATACAGTTTTTTCCCTTGTGAAAATGGACCCAAGGCTTACATGGTTCCCAAAGAACAAATTAAGTATATATATGACCACAATCAGAAAGCCATACCCTACGACAAAAATATGCCACTAATCTTCATCGGTGGCATGCCACGTAGTGGCACAACATTGATGCGTGTCATGCTCGACGCACATCCGGAAGTCCGATGTGGAGAGGAAACACGGGTCATTCCAAGGATTCTTGGAATGAGGACTCACTGGCAGCGATCGGAGACGGAGAAACGTCGTTTAAACGAGGCAGGAATCACGGACGATGTCATAGACTCTGCAATAACGGCATTCATGTTAGAAGTGATTGCCAAGCATGGGGAGGCTGCACCAAGGCTGTGTAATAAAGATCCGTTTACACTTAAATCTAGTCTATATCTCTCCAAGTTATTCCCAAACTCCAAATTCTTGTTCATGATACGTGACGGTCGAGCCGTTGTGCATTCAATAATCTCAAGGAAGGTTACAATAACTGGATTTGACCTTTCCAGTTATCGCAGTTGTCTTAAGAAATGGAATCAAGCTATGGAGTCAATGTATGCCCAATGTCTTCACGTGGGGTCGGGACATTGTATGCCCGTCTACTACGAACAACTTTCACTACATCCAGAATTGTGGATGAAACGGATTCTGGAATTCCTTGATTTGCCTTGGAACAGTTCTGTACTTCATCACGAGGATTTTGTTGGAAAACCTGGTGGAATTTCATTGTCAAAGTAAGTCAAATTTCTAAAAGAGGTGAATGGTACAATTTCATTTAAATATGTGTTTGTGACTTAAATAGTGAAGGGCCACTACGTTTACCTCATCCTGTAGAAATAGCCATACTTTAAGGCAAGTTGTCTCTCACAGGGGTTCTAGGCGCTTGAATGTTTTTGTCTTGGCCGTGTTATTTAAACTTTCAAAAGACGTAAAACCTACAAGCCGCAGGTGTCAGGCCAGTGGAATTGTATACGTCTGTCATTGCACAAATAAAAAAAATGATTTTACTAAATGTTACAGCAGTATTGATTTCAGCCTCAAAGTCAAAAGATATTCAAAAATGTATAACCAATATATTATCAGTGGAAGTCTTCTGTGTCGACTTCCCTATTTGAAGAGAGAACTTGCATGTGTATGTACGTACACAGTAAATGTGGACTGTTTACACTGTACCTGTGTCAATATGTAATGTGGCTTGTTTCACAATTAATTAACAGCTAAATTGATCTGTATTTGAAAACGTTGGCAATATTGATTCTCAATGAAATACCTGTACACTGGACCAGGAACACAAATTCCATTTATCACATGATGTACTGTGTTATCCAGTGAATATACCCATGTCATATTTATTGGGATATTAGTAACCCATGTAATATGACCCATTAGCCCTGTGATTGGTTGTAAGTTTCAATTGTTTCAATTGCGACATCACGCCTAGGACAAGTACATGATGTCACAGACTTACGCACTGGAGTCAAAATGGCGGCTTTTTACATTTCCAGGTTGCATGAATAATGTCGTTTTACACGAATAAATGCCACAAATCTTGTTTATGTGATGAAAAGGATCTTACACTCGTTTTCATTATGAAACTCGTCACAAATTTTTCATTTAAGCTCGCCAGTGGCTCGCTAAATTGAAAAATTCTTTGACACGTTTCATTAATCTTATATGAAATGGAAACTCATGTAAGATCCTATATATCTATATTAGGTGTAGTTCGCTTCCTTGTAAATGTCACACATGTTTAAATGATTACCTGGTATATTACCATATTTTAGATGAGAGAAAAATTTCAGTCACATGCATGTCATTTATATGTTTTGACTTTAGCACAGAAATTCATTTTTATCAGAACCGTTGCAAAATATCTCCCACTAGGATTTGGTATAAAAAGTCATATCCCTTGAAATAAATTCTATGTTTATTTTGCCTTAACTGATATGTGCCATTTATGCACACTGTTTCATTTCCAGAAATTCATATTATTATATGGTAATTCTAAGGTTTTTCTTGATGTTTTGGAAATCTCCCCTTTCTACAGTTGCATTGAAAAAATTAACAGGCAGTGAAACATGTTAAACTTTTCAAAGGTAAATATATATGTGTACATCCTGCTCCAGTATTCTACAGTTCACCAATGCAATTTTGAACTCATATTACTGAAAAAAGTTACCAATATTTTCATTTTTTTTAAGAAATAACCCCCCTAATCCCTCTTTCTGAGAGATTTAAATGTATTGCTTTGATAAATATAGCATACACTTGGATTCAAATGTTTTGGTTGGTCAGATCAGTTTGGATTTGACTATCCTGTCATATAGCAGAGGAATTTTGATTCAACAATTTTTCCAAAAGTTATTGCCCTTTGTTCATTTCGGTATTTGATTTTTTTGTCCGGAGATCTCCTCCTACATTTTTTGACGGATTTCTTTGAAACTTAGTAGGCTAAATAATCATGATATGTTGTGTTTCCATGAAAAGAATTTTGATTCGACAATTTTTGCAAAAGTTATTGCCCTTTGTTTATTTCAGTATTTGATTTTTGTCCAGCAATCTCCTCCTACATTTTTCAATGGATCTCTTTAAATCTTGGTATACATTATAATCATGACATGAAGTTGTGTCTCCCTGAAAAGAATTTTGATTCGACAATTTGTCCAAAAGTTATTGCCCTTTGTTCATTTCAGTATTTGATATTTTGTTCAGAGATTTCCTCCTACATGTTTTGACAGATTTCTTTGAAACTTAGTAGGCTAAATAATCATGATATGTTGTTGTGTTTCCTTGAAAAGAATTTTGATTCAACGATTTTTGCAAAAGTTATTGCCCTTTGTTCATTTCAGTAATTGTTGTTTTTTTATCCGGAGATTTTCTCCTACATTTTTATAGCATGTCAGCTAACCACTCTTTGAATGAAGCAGATCTTATTTCAATGAAAGAAAGTATATAACACTATATGGCATTCGACGGGCGTATATTGTTCCGCCCCACGGTACTCTTGTTGCAAAAGTTATTGCCCTTTGTTCATTTCAGTATTTGATATTTTGTTCAGAGATTTCCTCCTACATGTTTTGACAGATTTCTTTGAAACTTAGTAGGCTAAATAATCATGATATGTTGTTGTGTTTCCTTGAAAAGAATTTTGATTCAACGATTTTTGCAAAAGTTATTGCCCTTTGTTCATTTCAGTAATTTGTGTTTTTTTTATCCGGAGATTTTCTCCTACATTTTTATAGCATGTCAGCTAACCACTCTTTGAATGAAGCAGATCTTATTTCAATGAAAGAAAGTATATAACACTATATGGCATTCGACGGGCGTATATTGTTCCGCCCCACGGTACTCTTGTTGCAAAAGTTATTGCCCTTTGTTCATTTCAATATTTGATTTTTTGTCCAGAGATTTTCTCCTACATTTTTAGCTCATCTGCCCGAAGGGCAAGTGAGCTTATGCCATGGCGCAGCGTCCATCGTCGTCATCCGTCGTCGTCGTCCGTCGTCAACTTTTTCTTTAAAACCTATCACCTCCTAAACGCCAAAGAGGATTTCAACCAAATTTAGTATGAAGCATCACTAGGGGAGGGCAATCATTTCTTAAATAAATGAGGTTGGTTCAACCCCTGAGGCCAGGGGGGCAGGGCCCTGGAGGGGAACTTAGCTAAATTTGCTTTAAAACGCATCTCCTCCTAAACGCCAAAGAGGATTTCAATCAAATTTAGTATGAAGCATCACTAGGGGAGGGCAATCATTTCTTAAATAAATGAGGTTGGTTCAACCCCTGAGGCCAGGGGGGCAGGGCCCTGGAGGGGAACTTAGCTAAATTTGCTTTAAAACGCATCTCCTCCTAAACGCCAAAGAGGATTTCAATCAAATTTAGTATGAAGCATCACTAGGGGAGGGCAATCATTTCTTAAATAAATGAGGTTGGTTCAACCCCTGAGGCCAGGGGGGCAGGGCCCTGGAGGGGAACTTAGCTAAATTTGCTTTAAAACGCATCTCCTCCTAAACGCCAAAGAGGATTTCAATCAAATTTAGTATGAAGCATCACTAGGGGAGGGCAATCATTTCTTAAATAAATGAGGTTGGTTCAACCCCTGAGGCCAGGGGGGCAGGGCCCTGGAGGGGAACTTAGCTAAATTTGCTTTAAAACGCATCTCCTCCTAAACGCCAAAGAGGATTTCAATCAAATTTAGTATGAAGCATCACTAGGGGAGGGCAATCATTTCTTAAATAAATGAGGTTGGTTCAACCCCTGAGGCCAGGGGGGCAGGGCCCTGGAGGGGAACTTAGCTAAATTTGCTTTAAAACGCATCTCCTCCTAAACGCCAAAGAGGATTTCAATCAAATTTAGTATGAAGCATCACTAGGGGAGGGCAATCATTTCTTAAATAAATGAGGTTGGTTCAACCCCTGAGGCCAGGGGGGCAGGGCCCTGGAGGGGAACTTAGCTAAATTTGCTTTAAAACGCATCTCCTCCTAAACGCCAAAGAGGATTTCAATCAAATTTAGTATGAAGCATCACTAGGGGAGGGCAATCATTTCTTAAATAAATGAGGTTGGTTCAACCCCTGAGGCCAGGGGGGCAGGGCCCTGGAGGGGAACTTAGCTAAATTTGCTTTAAAACGCATCTCCTCCTAAACGCCAAAGAGGATTTCAATCAAATTTAGTATGAAGCATCACTAGGGGAGGGCAATCATTTCTTAAATAAATGAGGTTGGTTCAACCCCTGAGGCCAGGGGGGCAGGGCCCTGGAGGGGAACTTAGCTAAATTTGCTTTAAAACGCATCTCCTCCTAAACGCCAAAGAGGATTTCAATCAAATTTAGTATGAAGCATCACTAGGGGAGGGCAATCATTTCTTAAATAAATGAGGTTGGTTCAACCCCTGAGGCCAGGGGGGCAGGGCCCTGGAGGGGAACTTAGCTAAATTTGCTTTAAAACGCATCTCCTCCTAAACGCCAAAGAGGATTTCAATCAAATTTAGTATGAAGCATCACTAGGGGAGGGCAATCATTTCTTAAATAAATGAGGTTGGTTCAACCCCTGAGGCCAGGGGGGCAGGGCCCTGGAGGGGAACTTAGCTAAATTTGCTTTAAAACGCATCTCCTCCTAAACGCCAAAGAGNGTTATTGATCTTGTTAGACCACAGGGGCACGCAAGTTACTGCTTTTAATATTAATCTTATTAGACCACAGGGGCACGCAATATGATCATTGTTATTTCTGATTTATCATTGACAGGACGGAGAAGTCATCCGACCAGGTCATTCGTCCGGTGAATATTGAGGCTCTGAGTCGCTGGGTGGAACATATACCAAAACAGGAGAAAACAGATATGGGTACGATTGCCCCGATGTTAAAAACTCTGGGTTACGATCCCTCAGCCAACCCACCTGACTATGGAAAACCCGACCCAAGAGTCGCAGATAATACCATGCATATAAAACAGAACTTAGAGTTTTGGAAAAATCGTGAAATTGAAATTATGACTTCAGAAAAAATCCATCAAAGAAGAAAATCCAATATGGACAATGAGCCACCAAGTTGATGATTGTTATTGATGTGTTTGTTGATGCCTATGACAGAAAAGTATATTTTCAGAAGATTGACACGTTCTATTTATATTGTCACAAATTAAACCAAGCCATGAAAGTGTTCACATGAGATCTAAGAGTTAGAGTATCACAGAATCAATCTCTCCTGTAAAAATCTCAACCAGAGGGTAAGGATTTCACGGGTTTAAGCACATGCATGAGACTGTACTTATAGAGTTCAGATTTCTCCATACAACATCTAGGTTTTATATAAGGAGTCCACTGTGAGGGTAAGACAGAGAAATCTTAACCTGACAAGTGATATTCTTGATTGTCTAACCCAGGGCTGGCTTTAGGAGTGAGACAGAGAAATCTTAACCTGACAGGTGATATTCTTGCTTGTCTAACCCAGGGCTGGCTTTAGGAGTAAGACATTTTTTAATTTTTTTTTTAATAGGTGTGTTTTGTGGTGCAGAACAATATTAAGATATCTAACCCAGGGCTGGCTTTAGGAGTAAGACATTTTTTAATTTTTTTTTTAATAGGTGTGTTTTGTGGTGCAGAACAATATTAAGATATGGTTCAACTATGTATAAACTCTTTTGCAAAATTATAGAGTTCAGATTTCTCCATACAACATCTAGGTTTTATATAAGTAGTCCACTGTGAGGGTAAGACAGAGAAATCTTAACCTGACAAGTGATATTATTGATTGTCTAACCCAGGGCTGGCTTTAGGAATAAGACATTTTTTAATTTTTTTTTTAATAGGTGTGTTTTGTGGTGCAGAACAATATTAAGATATGGTTCAACTATGTATAAACTCTTTTGCAAAATTATAGAGTTCAGATTTCTCCATACAACATCTAGGTTTTATATAAGTAGTCCACTGTGAGGGTAAGACAGAGAAATCTTAACCTGACAAGTGATATTATTGATTGTCTAACCCAGGGCTGGCTTTAGGAATAAGACAGAGAAATCATAACCTGACAGGTGATCGTCTTGATTGTCTAACCCAGGGCTGGCTTTAGGAGTGCGACAGAGAAATCTCAACCTGACAGGTGATATTCTTGATTGTTTAACCCAGGGCTGGCTTTAGGAGTAAGACAGAAATCTTAACCCGACAGGTGATATTCTTGATTGTCTAACCCAGCGCTGGCTTTAGGAGTAAGACAGAGAAATCTTAACCTGACAGATGATATTCTTGATTGTCTAACCCAGGGCTGGCTCTAGGAGTGAGACAGAGAAATCTTAACCCGACAGGTGATATTCTTGATTGTCTAACCCAGGGCCGGCTTTAGGAGTAAGACAGAAATCTCAACCTGACAGGTGATATTCTTGATTGTCTAACCCTGGGCTGGCTTTAGGAGTAAGACAGAAATCTCAACCTGACAGGTGATATTCTTGATTGTTTAACCCAGGGCTGGCTTTAGGAGTAAGACAGAGGAATCTCAACCTGACAGGTGATATTCTTGATTGTTTAACCCAGGGCTGGCTTTAGGAGTAAGACAGAAATCTTAACCTGACAGGTGATATTCTTGATTATCTAACCCAGGGCTGGCTTTAGGAGTAAGACAGAGGAATCTCAACCTGACAGGTGATATTCTTGATTGTTTAACCCAGGGCTGGCTTTAGGAGTAAGACAGACAAATCTTAACCTGACAGGTGATATTCTTGATTGGCTAACCAAGGGCTGGCTTTAGGAGTAAGACAGAGAAATCATAACCTAACAGGTGATATTCTTGATTGTCTAACCCAGGGCCGGCTTTAGGAGTAAGACAGAAATCTCAACCTGACAGGTGATATTCTTGATTGTTTAACCCAGGGCTGGCTTTAGGAGTAAGACAGAAATCTCAACCTGACAGGTGATATTCTTGATTGTCTAACCCTGGGCTGGCTTTAGGAGTAAGACAGAAATCTCAACCTGACAGGTGATATTCTTGATTGTCTAACCCTGGGCTGGCTTTAGGAGTAAGACAGAAATCTCAACCTGACAGGTGATATTCTTGATTGTCTAACCCAGGGCTGGCTTTAGGAGTAAGACATTTTTTAATTTTTTTTTTAATAGGTGTGTTTTGTGGTGCAGAACAATATTAAGATATGGTTCAACTATGTATAAACTCTTTTGCAAAACGAAAAAAAACAACCTTTTACAATAAGCCAATTAGATCCGTTACATAGTGTGACGTGAACAGATCAGGATTTGTTTATCCTAATGTCTATGAAGTTTCGTTCTAAAAATACTACTTAAATATGTTATGTAAATAAATCGGGGGAAATGTGCAAAAAACGTTCATTTGTACATTTGAATCTCATGTATGCGTCTAAGTTGGTTCCCGTTTAGAACAGCTAGATTGTCAATCAGCTTCATGACTGGAACGTTTTCATATGAAAAGAAGGAAATTGGTTATAAAATTTAGCTGGAGTGTTCCCTCGGAACACTGTTGTTGATTGTATTTTGTCAATTTTATCTTTTATTATATTTTGTCATAAAAGTCCTGTCAGGTATGATTTTCTTTTCAGAAACATTTTTTTAAAACTCTAGTCATGCCGGGAAAAACAGTTTTAAATATGTAGTGACGGGGATCCTGAAACCTAACTTTCTTATCAGTGATCACGGATTTCCTTTTTTCCTGACATTTTCTAGTATCTTGACCAGATGTGATACATGAAAATTACCAGAAATGTGTAATGCTGGTGTCATTTAGAGATGATTGTATCACTATTGTTGGGCGTTATCAATGGTCACTTACTGCTGTAGATACTTTCAGAGCACTACTTTTGTGCTTACAGCTGAAATTTTGTTTCCGTTTAGGATTTGATCGAATGTAAATGGTTGTTGATGGGACGAACAATGCATACTTGCCAACCCTCCCTATTTTGGAGGGAAACTCCCAATTTTGTACCCTGAAATTGAACATTTTCGACCAGGGAATTGCTCAAATACACTTAGTTTGTAAGATCTGATGATTTAATCTGGAATGACAGCTCTAAAGATGCCATTTCAAAGTGTTATTTCTCCCTAGGGTGTACATACACACATTTTATTTATGCTGTCTGTTCTGAGCACGCGTAATCTCCCCCATGAAAACTAAAAAAGTTGGCAAGTTTGACAATGTATTGAAACAGGTATATAAAATATTATCATAAATATTATATGTATTGCATAATATCAAGTAACAACTTATTTGTTTTAAATGAGCTCCTTTGGATACAAACGAAAGAGCAAATATACACCTGTAACAATATGTACTACAAAACGCAATTATAGCAAAGTATTTATTCCTTTATCTGCTCTTGTGAACAGGTATTGATTGTTACGTCATTTGTTTGTGAGAGTAACGTCATCAAATTTTGAGAAAACGACGTATTTTTCTCACTCAAACCAATGACGTAACAATCAATACCTGCTCACAAGAGAAGATAACTCTGCAATACGCAAAGATGGAATAGAATGGAGTTAATAAAATTGTCAAATGTCCATTGTGGGTGGAATATATACATGTAGTGATCTCGGGTTTTGTTGCATGTGTGTTTCATATTGGAAAACAAATCATGTTAAAAGCTGTTAATGGAAGTGATGATAATTGTATCACTGTTAGCTGTTATATGTCAATCTCTTAAAAAAGATTCCAAAGTCAAAATTTACAGAGATCCATGATCGTGGTACCTGGGCCAAAACCTTTGTTACAATATTCAAATTTAGATATGTATATGTATGTAAACGGTCAAAGTTTTAATGGGATGACAATGATATGCCTGATGTATGACCTCTAGGGAGTTTGACCTCTGGTTACTAGTCGCAGCGTTTGAGAACATGGAAAATACTGCTTTTGTTGTCAGCATCATTGTTTTGTCCTGGTTTTGAAGTTCGATATAGTTTTGAAGTTCGATATAGTTTTGAAGTTCGATATAGTTTTGGCCTCGGTTCAGTGTTGTTTGGTTTTAGTACGATAGGTGTATATTGAAGTGGTTTCTGTACAATTGCAAATTTGTGTAAATTTAGGATCAATGAAAAAATGAATAATTTCAAAAACTCGGAGGTGATCCGTCTCAAAAATAGACTATTTACAAGATTACATCAAATATAGATTTAAAGAAAAAATGTTTTGTGACGGTGGTCAGAATCTACAAAAACTATTATCATGATGCTGATTTTACTTCATGACACTTGAATGTTTAAACCAAGATTTTGAAAAACATTTTCCAATCACACATTGGAGGTTTTCAAAGTCCTCTATTGAATTTTGTCATATCATTGATAAATATGTGTTGCTTTGTTACAAATGTTTTAGATATTTATGTAAACAGTGGAACCATGTTACTCCAGCCACTTTTTCGTTGACCATTTTACAAATCTTATTAAGATTAAGGATATGTCAGGGTACCTTCATTTGCAACCAAATTATTGTAGATGCTTCTGTTGCAGGATAAAATAACCGAAAAATGAAATTTTCATCATTTCAAAAAAATAGTCTTTTAAACTCCTATTTTTCTAGAGGATCTCATTTCTCTACTTTCACGTTAATGTATTCCCATAAAAATTCATCTAGTGGCAACATTTATCATTTCATAGAAATTAAACTTGGAGGTTGAATATTATGAACTGCCAAAGAAACATAAATTCCGTGAGATACAACTATTGTGTTAACACATAAATTTGTTAACCAAAGAAAAAAAAGCCATGATAGTATGTCTTAAAATGGGAATGTAAAACTGTATATATTGAATAATTACTGGGGTAGCATTTTTAAATATCATGTATAAAATATGGGAAATTAATTATAAACATTGTTGGGAAAGATTCTTTGTGAAAGTTTGTAAATATTTGTAAAAGTAGATAAATTACTTGGAAAAATCATGGCTTTATGCTCTTAATCTTTTTGAGATCTTCTAAAAAGATTTTTTTTTCTTGTATTTTTTTTTACATTTCTCTATGTTGTAAGTTGATTCGAAATGAGGGGAGGAGACACATCAGATAACAATAAGAGGTCTATCTCTATTGGTGTTTTAACAAAATACCAAAGGGAAAGATGATTAAAAAGTTACTGATAACTAGGTTTTTTTCTTGAAATATGAAAATTTTTGATATTTATTTTACATTTAATTTCAGTTATAAAGCCTGTTCATTATACAATTGTTTATCTTATGTGATAATGTTGAATTATTGTATATTATTTTTATCTACAGTATTTTAAAGATGGACAGGATATCTCAACTGGAAAATTATTAATTGTTATTACAAAGTAATTCTTGTTTTGTTATTAACAAATGTGATGGTTGCATTATTTTGATGCTCAACTGGAAGAAAAAAATATCTTTCTAGATTATTTTTGTCTCACATCTTTGCTTTCTGGGACCTGCTCAGAAATCAGTTATGGTTATTCTAAAGTGTCAACTGTTATAAACGTTGGACCAGAAAGCAATATATATCTTTATTGATTCTGGAAACTTTTTAGATCAAATTTATGCAAAGTTCTAGCCTCTTCTTTTATTCAAATGTTTGTTTCTGATCTTTAAAAGGGATCTTAAAACGTCCATTTAGATATTACTTTTCTGAAATAAATAGATATTTGTATTTACAATATTGTCACAAACAATCAAGAAAAAAATCAATAAGAAACCATACAAGAACAGATATAGAACAAAGTCAAAATCTAGAACAGTGTCAAAATCTAGAAAAAAATATATGGGGTTTTAAATGTAAATTATTGGTAAAAAAAAACAAAAAAAACACCTCGATGTATCAAACCTTTACTGGTGAAACCTGTCCTGTCCGACCACTGAGTATCCTGAATTATCCCATTTAATCCAACATAATGCTGTAATCCTATTTCCAGTAAAACTACCAAAGGGGACCTGACCTGTGTATTCCGACATCCCAGCTAGTCTGACCAATATGTTGTGTTTCACTGTGTCATATTAGACAGGTTTCCCTATATCAGGTTCTCTATGTACAAGCCTATTTAATTATTACTTCAAATCATTTATATTATGAATGCACTTGTTATGGTTTGATTAAACTTTTCCTTACCTACTTAACTCATTTACCCCTGAAGACACATTTGAACTCATCCAATTCAAAGGTTGGAATAGTTCATTATGAAATCTCAGGGGTGAATGACATTAATTTACATTTAACTGAGCATGTTTGTTTCTTATGGCAAAGTGTTTTAGTGATACTTTACAATTGGTGCTGAACACAAATGTTTTACGAGTGAAAATAATTACTAAATTGGAGTGCCAGTAATTTTTTCATTTTTTCAATCAGCTTAATTGATAACACAGCAGAAAGTTTGTACTGTTTTTTTTTATAAAAGAAACTATCCGCATCTAAACAGCTTTCTAAATTGTTTACAAATTATATACACTAAACAAATTCAATTAAATAACTGTTTACCAAATCTTTCACATATACTTAATGACAAATATATCATTATCTTATAATTTGTTTACCACAAATATTACGCAAATAATTGATGATCATAAAATGCTATATATCATTTATAAATTTCTATGATTTTTTGTGGGGAATATGTTTTTATTATTGAACAGATTAAGAAATGGTCTCGTTAATTTTGTTTATTTTTGGGGCCAAAAACAGTATTTATTGTGCCTATACTCCTCTTGTACAACGTAAAAATCATGCAGCATAGTTGTTATTGTCCCGTAGTCCTGTTTATATAAAATGCTTTTTGTAGTGAGGTTGTTCAATATTACGATTATACTGATATCATGACAATACAGAATAAATGTGATGCAAATATTTTCATTTTGTCTTTGTATTATGTGTATTTTATCTAGGCAAAACAATTTTTGTCACACCACCACAAAGTAGCAGAAGCGAGACTAAGGTGTTGCTTTTCAGGCGACGGCAGCGTCAACATTAAGTTATTGTGTTTAAGTTCGTTTCACCAACCAAACTTGGACCATAGATGCCATCATCTTAGGTAGAACATCTCAACCCATGCATTAAAGGCTGGATGCGGCATACCTTTCATGGTCCATTGACTTTGTCAGCATCTCTATCAACATTAAGTTTTTGCATTTAAGTTAGTTTCTCTGAAACTATATGAATGCCAACTGGACAAAAGTAAATCTATCATGAAGCGCTAAAATGCTTCAATGAATTTGCCTTTGGCCAGTTGGCATTCATATTGCCTATGAATGCCAACTGAAAGCAGTTCAATGCTAAAATAACTATTAGTTTTAAAAATCTCTCATCCCCTAGAGTTTTATCACATGTGCCTGTGCCCCGCTTTGACCATCAATGCTTATGTCAAGTTTGGTTATAGTTTCAGAGATCCGTTTGGGTGGGTTTTTTTCATGATCATGAGAACATTTTGAGTCGAGACTGGTTGAATCTGTATTTTTCAGCATGTGAGAATTTCTTGTATCACACCTGACCAAATTCATTGTATTTCACAATGAGACCACTTCTGGAGTCACATTTTCGATTTCTTTTTCACAATTGTAACCTGATATAAACTTTTTCAGTAAGACAAAACTTTCTGTGTCACATCTGACGTATGAGTCTTTGGGAGGTCATACAAATAGTTTTATCTTTTGCGAATGGATACCTATGACATCGGGAGTTCAACAAGGGTCTGTCATAGGTCCCATAGTGGTTTTTTCATCTATATAAAATGATCGAACCATTATGTTGGGTTCAGAATCATGTATATACTCAGGTGATACAAAATGTTCCAAATTTAATTCTTAAGAATTGAACCAGATTCTATGTCAATGTAATATCCGACAGATGGAGCCACGGTGCGGTACGTAGTTGTTGAAACCACAGCCAGAAAGATGTGTGCGCATGTGAAGGAATACTGGAAATTTTCGTACATATTACACGTCATGATCTTGGTGAAACAGACCTTAAAAATCAGAAGCAGAAAGAATATACATGTAACAGTAATAATTGATGACATCTTGATTGGGAGAAACCTTGTTTTTAAGCAAATTTCAAAGGAAAACATTTCAAAAGGACCATGACTGAATTTCCAGTGAATCTGTCTATACACCGTATATGTATTGTCACCTTTATCGTTTAATTTTAACTCCACATATGCATCATATTTTCTGTCATACGCGACATGATATACACTTTCTACACTTAGACGAGAACAAATCTTATCATACTTTCTAAGTTCTCAATAGATATAAAAGTAGAAATTTTTGTGTGTGTAAATATTCACATACAGATCAAATTTTTGCGCGAAAAACATGAACATTATATATCTGTAATCTATTACCATATATTCGGTTGTGGATATTTTTGCGCTAATTTACTCAAAGTGAAAGACACGAACATTTCCACACTGTGAGGTTTTTTTTGCAGTAATGTTAATAACGTTGTAGATATGGGGCATACAGTTTTAGTCTTCCCTCCATTGGTTGAGAAGGAGAAGATATTTGAAGGTTAGCTTTTCCCCCTATTTGGCCCTGCCCCTCTGCCCCAAGGGGAGCCATACCCTCAGTTTATATAAAACTTAGAACCCTTTGGCCGATGACGCTCCAGAACAAATTTGGTTAAAATCCTCTGAGCTTTTAAGGACTAAATGCATTTTAAAGGAAGAAGTTGATGGACGACGGATGCTGCACCACAGCATAAGCTTACTTTGCCCTTTTGGCCAGGTGAGCTAAAAAGTAAAGCTTGAAATAGGAAAAAAAATTCCAAAAAAAACCCATGCTATTTTGACTTCCCCACAACATTTGACCCTCCATGCCAAAGATCAACTGCTCTGGGTGAAATAGTGAAGTTATATTTGAATTTCATCACTTTATGTAGCCCCCACCCTCCATAAAATGTCTGGGGCAAAAAAAAATGAGAGGGGAAGGGTGCACAAAAAGCCTAGATCCGCCCATGAACTCTCTGTAAAGGAAGCTTACATGTATCACAAGGATCAAAGGATTTCCCTTTCTCTGCTTAATGAAAATGACATTTTCCCTCAGAATGAAAAACACAACATTTTTAAAGAAGATTTCATTATCTTTATTGGCATCAGACTTTGATTTCATCCAGTAAATCTCTACAGACCAAACCGCACAGTTATAGCATGACACACTGTACAGGGACTCGTTAATTCTATTGATTGTGAATGCTAAATGAAAGCACTTCATATCTTCACTGCAGTGTCAAAATATGATTTTAAATGCTGGAGTATTTTGACAACATTGACAAGGATTACAGTTTACATCAGATTTGTCATGGAGAAATTATGTAATAATTCTATTCCAATCATAAAATAAGCATGTAGTTGGTAATGCTATAGCAGATTTAATTTCTCAAATTTTACATATCCAAAAAAATCTCAAACTGTCATAAACAGTTTGATTTTTTTGGAAACAAAAATCAACAAATTTTAATACACAATCACATTCAATAGTTGTAAAAGACCATTATGAAGTACAAAACAAATTTCCGTGTTCTCAAACTTAATGAATGAAATGATTTGAAATAAAACTATCAAACATGAAAATCATAAACAAAATCTATCAATTTTTACTATGAAATTTCAACTTTGTGAACTTTTTTACTTAACAACATGTAAGGTTATGGGGTCACTTGCCCGTTCGTGTAGGCTCTCTCTGGGTACTTAATATTTCTTAACAAAACATAATTTCAATTTGAGTGTAATGTACAGCGAAATCTGTTAACCACAAACATCCTTTTAGTCACCATGACAAACTATCAATATAACTGTAAACACATTCGCGCTGTAGCAGACTGACCTCATGGATTTCTGGAGGTTTCTTATTTCTAATTTTACTGTACAAAAAACATGCATAATGAAAATCACAGATATGCTCAAGTTTTAAACAAAGATAAATTTCATTTAAAGATCAAATTTAGCAGTTACTTCAGCTAATATATGCTTGACATATTGACAACTGTTTGTCTATGTGGCATATGTACAAAAGTTTGTACCACAAAATGATCTAAATATCCTCAAACCACGAAGAAAGGTGCCCACAAACATTTTTCGTTCTGCAGTACATGATTCATTTGTTTACAAGTTTAGATTTGTGTAGACAATGAACAGTTGGATTACTGGTAAAGGGGTTCCCCAAACACTGGCCAGAGGTCAGGACTACTGGACGTGGTGACTAGATTATCTGAGGTTGACTTTTTTAAGTTTGTGCATACAAAATTATTTATAAATTACATATCTTTACAAGGTTATCCAATTGCAAAGTAAAAACATTAATGATACTTATCACTTATAGTAAAAGAAAAAAAAAATGAAAAAACTTAAAACACCAAAATATAGTCACACAATTTGCACCTCACAAAAACAGGACATATGTCTCTAAATAAAACTGATGTTCTCTTGACTAATAAAATCCTCAAGAATCACTTCAACATTCAAAATTTAAGCCTAACATTTCTGACAAAATGGACAACATGAACATTTCAGATGATTATAGCACGCAGAATATCAATATTTCATAAAAAAAAATCAAAAATGTGCAAACATCATTAAATTTATCTGCAATAAGATGTTAGAAACGGTGCTACATAACACACCATACTTTCTATCCCGTAGCTTTGTATTTATAAACCATTTCCTTTATACAACATATTGTGATCTAGCTGCTGGTACATTTGTATTCCACTCATTAAACCGTTCATATATTTGCTATACAAAAATAATTGTAATTTCAACTGCAACATTGAAAATAAATACACGTCAACATGACATTCTATATGTCAGTATTATATATACTACTGTATAGCATTGCCACTACCTTACCCTACAATACTTATAATGGCTATATTAGTCAAGGCACAATCGATGACGTCATCATTATCACAACATTACATTTGTAACATTAGATAATATGACCTTCCTGGAAGATGTCTGAACTATTCATTAAACAAACATACAATATGTACATATAAATTTGAATTGAATGCTGAATTTCAATAAATTAATTTAATTTTCTAGGACATTATAGTGAAATATCAAAAAAGATAAGTATTGAACTACTTTCAGGTGACATTCGTAGAATTCGTAATTTCCAGTTGGCATGTTTTGACAGCCAATGTAAGCAGCTCAACGCTTACCTATATTTGCACATATATATTCCAGGCAGACCGTTTTTGCCTTTGTATTTAAGTCTGTGAAATATCTATGCTTTTCAATAAGATATCGTAAAATAACCTCTGAATTTATATATATTATATAAAACTTCTGCATAAACGACCTTCATTGTGTCTATGACCTTCATGGTCATGACTGTGACCTTGATCTACAGTCGACCTTCATCATGGTAATTTTTGAAGAGGAGTTGGAAGTCCTGGTCAGCGGTGTCTGAGGAAAAGTGTCGTCTGCTCTGGTTTGTAATTACTGGAGTCAAATCCTTCTCACACCATCTGCGAAACAATTATGAATTTGTTCATTCATTACAAGACCACTCAATATTCAACATAACATTATTTTGAATACCCGGTAAGGAAAGCCTCTAATGATAATGGAAATCAAACAATAAAACATATTTTAAAAGACTACAGGGCAAAAATCATTGAGTGAGAAAATGTTGGTTGCACCATAAAATTTTAGGATTTCTGAATTGCCAAGAATACCTTTGTGCTGCGTAGATGTCTGTTGGGTCGGAGCCAGCCTCCACAGCATGCTGTACCAAGAGGGCACCTGTAAAAGGGAAATAGCAATAACACTCTGTATAGAACCTATATCTACCATATAGAACTTACATCTACTGTATAGTACTTATATTTACTGTATAGAACTTATATCTACTGTATAGTACTTATATTTACTGTATAGTACTTATATTTACTGTATAGTACTTATATTGACTGTATAGAACTTACATCTATTGTCTAGTACTTATATTTACTGTATAGTACTTATATTGACTGTATAGAACTTACATCTATTGCATAGTACGTATATTTACTGTATAGAATTTATGTCTACTGTATAGGACTTACATCTACTATATAGTACTTATATTTACTGTATAGAACTTACATCTATTGCATAGTACTTATATTTACTGTATAGAATTTATGTCTACTGTATAGAACTTACATCTACTATATAGTACTTATATTTACTGTATAGAACTTATATTTACTGTAAGGAACTTAACATTTACTGTAAATAACTTACATTTACAGCTGTAAAGAACTTATATTTACTGTATAGTACTTATATTTACTGTATAGAACTTAACATTTACTGTAAAGAACTTACATTTACTGTAAAGAACTTACATCTACTGTATAGTACTTATATTTACTCTATAGAACTTATATTTACTGTATAGTACTTATATTTAATGTATAGAACGTACATGTACTGTATAGTACTTATATTTACTGTATAGAACTTAACATTTACTGTAAAGAACTTATATTGACAGCTGTAAAGAACTTACATTTACTGTAAAGAACTAACATCTACTGTATAGTACTTATATTTACTGTATAGAACTTATATTTACTGTATAGTACTTATATTTACTGTATAGAACGTACATGTACTGTATAGTACTTATATTTACTGTATAGAACTTATATTTACTGTAAGGAACTTAACATTTACTGTAAAGAACTTACATTTACAGCTGTAAAGAACTTACATTTACAGCTGTAAAGAACTTACATTTACAGCTGTAAAGAACTTATATTTACTGTATAGAACTTATATTTACTGTAAAGAACTTATATCTACAGTATAGAACTTATATTTACTGTATAGAATTTACATCTACTGTATAGAACTTATATTTACTGTATAGTACTTATATTTACTGTATAGAACTTACATGTACTGTATAGTCCTTACATTTACAGCTGTAAAGAACTTGCATTTACAGCTGTAAAGAACTTACATTTACAGCTGTAAAGAACTTATATTTACTGTAAAGAACTTACATTTACTGTAAAGAACTTACATTTACTGTAAAGAACTTATATTTACTGTAAAGACTAATGTTTACTGTAAAGAACTTATATTTACTGTATAGTACTTATATTTACTGTATAGAACTTACATGTACTGTATAGTACTTATTATTTACTGTATAGAACTTATATTTACGTTATATAACTTATATTTACTGTATAGAACTTACATGTACTGTATAGTACTTATATTTACTGTATAGAACTTACATGTACTGTATAGTACTTATATTTACTATAAGGAACTTAACATTGACTGTAAAGAACTTATATTTACTGTAAAGAACTTACATTTACTGTATTTACTGTAAAGAACATAAATTTACGGTAAAGAACTTATATTTACTGTATAGAACTTATATTTACTGTATAGAACTTACATTTACTGTATAGAACTTATATTTACTGTATAGAACTTACAATTACGGTACAGAACTTATATCAACTGTATAAAACTTATATTTACTGTATAGCATTAATATTTTAAACATACCACTTGGTAATACATGTAGTGTATTTGTTATTGATTGTGTAATTGATATCAACATTGTATACAATTTATTTCAATTGTATAGAAATACATTCAATGTATAACAAACTCTGTTGTATAAAACTTATACTACAGCACAGTCATGTATTTACTTTAAAACACTTGTTTTTCACAGAGTTACACACAAAAACATCAAATTTTGTGAATTTGTTGCTCATCTGACAGAGGTTTATTTAGGACTATTCATTATGAAATTTAAACCCTGCCAATTTGGTTTCGGGAACAAAAACCAACAAGTTTAAATCCAGCGCCATCAGTATATATTTGTGAATGCTTAACTTCAAGATATTTTAAAAAGATATTTTAAATCACTTTACTTTTTTGCACTTCACATATTTTTTTGTGTTTTTTTTACTTGATTTTAATGGCCTCTGACTCTGGAACCAAAAGGATTGATGCTATTAACCCTTTAAGCCCTGATGATGCATTAATGCATCACCAGGCCTAGGCCGAATGATGCATTAATGCATCACCGGGTCTGGGACGAATGATGCATTAATGCATCACGGAAGTGAAAATATTTTGAAACAATTTTGAGTTGATAAAATACGCAAATAAAATGATTTGTTTGTAATCATATGTGCCTGAAATCATGAATGTACATTAAATCAAATTAATTTACCTATAAATGTCCTTGACAAACTGTAGGCAAAGTCTCGAGCTGCTTTGTCAAACACATCGGAATGTTTTTGTGCAAAACCAACGACAGAAGATGCACACTTGGTGACTTTTTCTGCTGCTTCTGAGAGCTCCTTGTGTTGACCAGCAGATTGGACCCTGGAGATGACGTCATCATGCCAGACCTGGAGTGCCCCGCCCTTGGTCTTCATTAGAGCCCTCAGTACATCCAATGAAAGGACATTGGTTGTCCCCTCCCATATAGGCAGCACCTGGAGATTAATGAAAATACTATTAAGGCTACATGTTAGCTATACAAATCATTTTTATCATCCTGTAATAAACCCTTTCCCTAATCTAATGAAAGGCATATAACGTTATATCAAGGCATACATCCATATCAGTTAATATCAGTTAATGTCAGTTAATGTCATGTCAGTTAATGTCAGATAATGTCAGTTAATGTCAGTTAATGTCAGTTAATGCTTTGATGTAACTTTTGAGTCATTTATATTCTGGACAATTTTCTTACCAATGTGAAATCCAATTTGGAAAAAAATAGACAAATTTCTGAAATAATTATTGCAGAAATGTTTCGGTTTTATATAAAATCTAGGATGAACCCTTATTTCAAAAGTCAATATAAGGAAAAAAATCATTTACTATCAGAATGTCAAACCAAACCTTGTCTTGTCTGGAAACAAGGACAAAAAACCCCGAAAATTCCACTATGTCCCACATTTCTTTGTAAATTTATTTACGTCAGCTGAAAAATAATCCCAGTTTTACCCGAGTTTACCTTTTATTTATGTTAATTAACTAATTTCGTCTTTTAAATGCCATTTGAAGAACAGATTACAAGCTAGGTCCCTCCATATTTCATAACTGTGAGACCATTGACTAATTTGCCAAACCATTCCAGGAATGTGATAAAAGAATGTGGCCCTTATATCACCTGAGCAGTTTTAACCTCTTATGTAAATTCCTTCTGCTACTTTTCCCTCTAAACCTAACCTCTAATCATTCTATCTTGGTTATCTTACCTGGGCATCTCTTAGCAGGCCAGGTAATCCGGTATCTTCTATGTAGCCCTGTCCTCCAAAGCTCTCCAAACCTTCAGACACTACAGACATCGCCTGTTAACAATCACACAAACAAATTAAATACAAATATACAAGCATTCATACAGTACGATAATGCTTCAATTTCTGGAACTGTTTTAATTTCATATTTTTGTGGTAAATGCATTTTGCAAACAATCGATCCAGCAAAAATATTTGTCATGTCACAGATTTATTATCAAAGCAAAGCAAACTGTAAACAAAAAATAAAACAAGAGGCCCAATGGGCCTGCATCGCTCACCTGTTATTAATCTAACACTTGTAATCTTAAGATTTCATAAGAACCTATTAAAAGATTTAAACATATGACGCCTCTGACCTTGATTGTCGAACAAGGACATTAGGTTGAAAGTGGATCAAGGTCATTCATTTGAACTAACATGGTAATCCTTCATCCCAGCATGCTACAGGCCCAAT